GGGGGGGGGAGAGGATTTTCGTTATTGTTGTCTTCACATTAAAATCGTTCCGATCTCTACTCAGTATCTTGTGGGGTGTTCCATACAAAAAATTCCAGGTGCCGTCATAATAAAATGTGAGGGCGGATGTGTGTGTGTGTGCGGTGGTGGTGTTGCTGCGAACATTAACATATCGTGAATCTCCATTGTTCCGCAATTGTTCCGGGGCCCCGCCAAAGACGGGGGTGGCGGAAAGAACCGATGAGGGAGGAGAAGGGGGGGAAGAACATGAACTATTCATCGCCAGCAGCTGCCACCGCGGAGGAGAGAGTGTGTGTGTGTTTTCCATTACCGACGCACCCCTCCCTGCCAAGCCGGGACGGCGTGCGTGGGGTTTCACTCCGCCGTGGCGAGGGGGCTGCACCACCGCGTACGCGAGAAGCGACCAGAGCGGCGTGAGGGTGAGACGCGTGACACGCCACCTTGATCTCAGCAACGAGTTTCGCATTCGATCGAGGTGAACTCCGGCGCGCGTTTGTGGCCATAGACGCGTCTGTAACGTACAGCCTCTTCCGAGGGGACACCGTGGATGCATGATGATAGAGACAGGGGTATCGTGCCGTTAGATTGGCGGGACGCTGACACAAAACAACGTGTGTCGTAGTACCAGTGAACATAACACACAGCCTACACACGTGATGCTGTTCCTCGCGGAGGAACCCACGAACCACCAGCGACTCCAGACCTACTGACCAGCTTCCGCAGCTGCTGTCATCGAACCACCGAACCATTTTTTCAGATCAAGCCGCTTCGTTTCGTCCTCGTCACCTGTCTCGGGCATGGCGAACAGCGACGTCTCTGTCGCCACGCGGAACGTTCCGTGGACCGATATTCCGACGCCCCCGCCCATCACCACGCCGTCCCACAACGACAGCAGCGCCTGTTCCGGACAGCAAGAACAGTTCGTTAGGGGCGGACGAGGGTTGACAAATGCCCCCAAGAATAGGGTGGTTTTCAGTGTGTAGTAGCAGGAATGGAGGGTACACGGGGGTGGGGGGGGGGGCAGGGACAACATGAGATGCGGAGAGACGGGCGGGACAGGCAGAGCGGCGCAAGCCAGCGCCAGACCACCCGCCAAAACATCCCTCCCCCTCTTGTCAACACCTAAAATCTGGCAATGGCAAACCACCAGGATGGATCAAAATGCCTCCCCCCCCCAAAAAAAAAACTGGCAACACGCGAATCGTATCTTTAGCAAATCACCTGTTCTTTGGCGATCTCCGCAAGGCGGTAGTCCAGCACGTACTCCTCGCGAAAGAAGTCGCGCCTCAACGTGCCGGATACCCCGAGACCACGCCGCTCCCTGATCCCAACGGCGCAAGCGAAAACAACAAAACAAAAAACAAAAAAACAAAAACTAAAGTGCACGAAAAAAAAACAGGTGCTATGTACTACAGCGTGATAGGAGCAAGGGTACTACGTCAAGGGGCGTCAAGGTGAGACCAGCGGCAGTTTCACTTATTGTTTCATGTTTCTCGTGTTGACGTTTTCGCGACCAAGCGGCACCACTCTCCGACTTGCAGACACGAGTATGCCCGCCCCAATTTTTTGCTACCGCCGTCCTTGTTAAAACCTACTGCTGATTGATTCAGATGTATCCCCAACAAGCATTTCAGCACCCCTTGGTCTTTGACCAAGTTCCAAACTCTATCCCATTGCACGGGGTATCGGATGTACAAGGAGGCCAAATGGTTTCGCCACCAACGCCAAGGCAAGCGGCATTAGTCAGCAGGATGCCAGCACACTGGTGAAAAAAACTCACGATTGAGCGACAGCCTTGACGTCCCCGCCCGCGCAAAACGCCTTTCCTCCAGATCCTCGGAGAACCAGCAGCTTCGGGACTTGGTCCACCTACCGCACATACCATTGCAACAGAAAGCGACACGAGCGGAACCATTACGAATGTTTTGTCCTGCCGGCAAAATTCACACGCTTGCCGAATAGGTCGCGCGGCGACACGATGCTGTGTGCCTTCCCCACAGCAACGACAAAAGCAGCGAAACCCAAGGACAAGGGTTGCAATGTACACCAAAGAAAAAAAAACCACGTGGCACCGGGCACAATTAACCAACTTGTCGAGCAAATCCACTAGACGGCGTGCGTGAGTCGTGGTCACACGGAAACCAAGTTCGCAACTCAAAACGTCAACCGGATCCTTGGTTGTAGCATGTCGCGAACGAGGGGTCGAAACAGCCGTGGGTTCTGTTTTCCCACACACGAAAGCCGTCATCTCTCTGGTGTCTCTGCGACCTCCTCGACCAGGCTGTTTGTTTAGAGGGGCACCGGGAAATACCTGGGCCAAAAAAAACGACAGACTGTAGTCCTACCGCGCGCCAAGCCTCCGACGAACGACTATTTAGTCAGAAATAGGCGTGACACACTCTGATGGAAATCGTCCCGCCGCTGGGTATCGGCTTCCCGACTTGAAGGATCCTGCCTCTACACCTTCTTGGGGAGGGCCACCATCATCGTAACCGACGGTAACACACACACAATAGGACAGAAACAACCAGCGGCAGCCTCGGCGGTATGATGAGTTCGACACGCAAGGATATTTTCCCGTTTTTTTGGCGCCTTGTTCCTCACCGACCAGTGCTCTTCGATAGCTGCCGACATCCCCCGGACCATGGTCAAGCTCAGCGCGTTCAGCTTCTCAGGTTTGTTGAGGGTCAACCACGCCACACTCCCCGCCTCGCCCCTTCTCTCCAGCGTGATTTCCTGGGGGGGGGGGGGGGGGTATGGCGGACCACAGGGGAGGTAAGTCCTGGTACCTCTGCGGTACTCCCCAAGCGCGCTTGCGAAGATGGGATGGATACGTCCTTGACCCGGAAATAAGAACAAAATCGAGGAAGGAATGCTGATGCTTGTTGACAAGACTGGAAAGCTCGGAGCGTGTCGCCGAGAGTGTCCTCCCGAGCGACCCGTTTTCTTGGCTTGGACGCATGCCCTCGCTCGAATCGGCACGCAAATTCACCCGGGGGTGATGGCTTTCAGGGGGGGTGGGGGGTGGTCGGGGGTGGTGGGGGGCATGTCTTCAGTTCATCCACGAAGGTGTATAGACGCATGATCACGTGACAATGAGAAAAATGCGCAAGAGGTGGTCACCGACTCTCGATCTGTTGACCGTCTATCGCACGGCACGCTCGTGGCCGAAACATGCCGCTCTGCACGCGGAGAATTGGCGCGGAGAGGCCTGTGCAAACGACATGGTTCCAAGTCAGGCCTTGCTTTCCATTGGCACCCCTCACGACTCTCAAAGTGTCCAGACGGCTGAACTTGTGCCGCCGCAAACAGGGGTTTCGTCGCATCGACTTGTATGTGCTTGTGGTACATCTCCCCGAGATTCACCGGGGGAAGTACATGCTGCAGCAAATAGGACGTCAGAGGGGATTAGTGCTGTAACGCCATCGACGACACTCTAAACTAAACAAGTGTTCGAGCACATGCGGTGCTTGCACGGCATCAGCATGACGCGCCTCAGCGTGGTGCGTTGTCTACCCGGCCACAAGAGCAGCAGCCCGCTCTCTCTCGCGGCACAACGACACGACGACTGCTGCAGATTCTCCCGGAATGACACCAGAGGTCGGAGAGATTGCATGCTACAGCTGTAGTACCGAAAAAGAACCGCCGCGGAAGGATCCACTCTCTGCTCTCCAAGCAAGAGGTTTTCGAAATTCAGGCAGACCACCCGGAGAAAATCCTAAGCAATGCCTGCAGGATACCTGGACTACTGCTGTTGCGTTTAAGGGTAACACCAGCCGCGGTTGTGCGGGGGTCTCGCAAGTTCCGGGGAAACATGTGGGTGCCGTTCAAGTGCGGGAAGATCAACAACAATGCATGCATTGTGTTGTCGATGAGATGAGATGGTGTGCGCGGCACAAGGTGTGCCAGGCTCCACGTTTTGCGCTGCTCCCGCGCTCGAGCACAAACTGCCGACGAGTCTCTACGCTCGCGGTCCTTGTCTGTGCGCTCACCGGTTCTCCCTTAGAGTTGAGGCACGGCGAAGTGACATCGCCCCGGGTGGACATGGCCGCAACTGCTGCTTTAGCTGTAGCAGAGGTCCGAGCACCGCGGCTGTTGTTGCTGTGCGGAGCAAAGCCTGTCGCAAAGGCGGGAAAACGAAGAGTGGATAGCCGAGGAGCCGCTCTAGCCAAGGCAGACATCGAGCTTGTGCGTTTGTGCCTGGGCAATTTGCAGCTGTGAGGTAAAGTATGCAGAGGCAGAGGTTGTGCGAGTCGGCGGCGGCACTGTCAAGATCGGAGAACGGGGCTCCGTGATTGAGAAATTCACGGGGGGGGACGGGGCGCGGGTCATTAGACCGACCAAGCGTTAGCTGTGCTCTGTGCTCTGTGCTGTCTGGTGCGTACGTGCGATAGCGGCTTTGGCTTCTGGCTCGAGGCACCAAGGCATTGCCCTCTACTCTACTACCTGGTGAGACAGGCCAAAATCCCTTCTGCCTGGCGTTGATGCACGCACACATTCGGGGAAGTACATTGCATCGTCACACACACCTACGTGGACAATGGTGTTGTTCTTGTTGGCCAGCTCGCTCTCTCGCTGGTTGTTTCTGTGGGGCGTTCACAGGCGTCGGTGTGAAGTGGCACCAGACATAACGAGCGTCTGCCCTTGGTCGCTTTTTCATTATGTTGTTGCCGACAGTAGTGCGTCGTACCACGCTGCTCGTTCGACATCAGTACAATAGAGAGTGTCGATAGTCGAAGCTCGCTGATTGTGATCTACAATACAATATATTCACCCGATCTGTGTACAAAAGTACAGCATGCAATGACTTTCCCCGCTGCGTGTACCCGCGTGCCCCCATGTCTGCTGTCACCGACGGGGATCAATCAACAATCAACCACAACCGCAGAAGAGCAGTGCCCTGGCCCTGAAACAGTATCAGCAGGGTTTCTTCGAAAACACGGGTCGGTGGCGCTATTATACAGCAGCAGCGCAGAGTGCGGTGGTGGTCTCAAAAAGCATGACCGTCGCAAACCCATGCTGACATACCTGCCCCGCCTCGTGGAGAACCGTGTTCTTCGGCCGGGGGGCACCAGCTACGGCCCCGTTCGGAGAGGGGTAGGGGCTGGATTCGGGGATTGATTAACAGTCCCTTTTCGGGGGGCAATCGCGGGTGTCACAGAAAGCGAGTGCCAAGACAACTCGAGTTTTGGTCGGAGCTGTGAGCTGTACAATCTATTCTGTCTCGGGCGGAATCGGACAGCCACCGCCGTCAAATGCCTCCGGGGGAGGAACCCTCCCTTGATCATCATCGAGACGGGTCGGAAAAGGGACCAGCGGCTGCGACAGACCGCTTTAGGTTTGGCACGGACCAGCACGGACAACAGCAGCGCCAGGACGAACTCGGCGGCGAACCACTAGCCGCGAGCGGAAGCGGCGGCGGCGGCGGCAGCGGCACCGGGGGTTTGTTGCTGCCCGCGAGGCGTTCCGTGGCGGAGGCGGGGGTTGTCGTTGTTCCCCCTAGGCTTTTCGTAACCGCCAGCGGCGGCGAAGGGACCAGGCGGGAAGGTTCGACCGGGCGGTTCTCCACGAGGAGCACGGCGAACCGGCGTTCTCCGGAACGCTACGCGGCACGTGCTGCGAAGCGTTCTGTGTTGGGGACAGATTCCCTCCAGAGGCGACCGCCGCCACCGTCGCAACCAACGGCCACCAACGGGCAACAGCAGGAAGCGCCGCTCGGAGGGAACCATTCGGAGAGGACGGTATTGGTTGGAAGGTTGTTGCCGGAAAGCTCCTCCCTGGACTCGTTCGAATCTTCGGACGGGTTGCTGTTTCCGGATTCCCACACGGGTTCTCGCGGTCTTGATTTGCTCCGCGGCGACGGCGGCGGCGGCGGCGGCCGGAGCGGTGGTGGCCGGAGCGGGGTGGGAGTGCTAGGGTTTTCGGGCGCGGACGAGTTCGCCGAGGCGGAGCTTGCTCCTGCTGCTGCTGGGGAGGAGGGAGAGGCGCAGTTCGCGCCAATGCGGGATAACTCGACCGACAGTGAGCTTGCCTTCCCGTTGCACTGTTCCACTAGAAAGCTGAGGCGTTTTCCTGTTGTGTCTGGGATGTACATAGACTCGCACAGGGTTATGTTCACACCCCACCCCTTTTTGACCCGCCCCTTGCCCAACCTGCCGATGCTGTGTGGGTTAAGGGAACCAACCAGCCCCAGGTTTTCGTGTGTGGTGGTGCTGTGGGTGTCCCAGTGTTTTTCGCATCCGTCCGAGTGCGATCATCTGATGACCACCCAGCTGCCACGAGTGCAGCATGTGTCTCACCCATCAGTATTTCGACGCCGGTCGCTCCGAAAGGATGGGGTTGACCAGCTGGTGGCTTCAGAGGGCTCCTCTGACTCTAGGTTTTGGGTTCAGACATCTCCGGGGTGCATGTAAACTCTTTGCAGTTGAAGAGTGGGAGACACATGAGCTATTTTGTCGCGAGTGCACGGGAAGGAAGGGACTGCCGGACCCGTCTTGGCGTTGAAAGTAGAACGATTTCAGACGCTCCAGAAACAAACGTGCAGACCAGAAGAAAAAAAAAGTCGTGTGTTTGCGTTGTTACTGTAACTCCGGAATGCTGGTGTGGCAAAACATGAACCGAAAGGGGTAGCCCGACGCTAAGGATATACCGATGGGACGAAAAAATCCGAACGCGCGCACACACACACCCATCGACGGAGTGCTCTCTTTTCCGTCCATTGGTTGTTGTTGGTCTGTTTGGGGTGGTGTTGGTGTTGTTGTAGTTGTGGTCGTGGTGGTGGTGGTGATCAACGGCGGTTTGTTGACAACTGTCACACGATATTTCTAGCAACCAACAATCTTTGCGGGTGTTGTTGTTTGTTCGATGAAGTGGTTTGTGTTGGCGAAAGCGACCGACGACAGATTTCTCCCGGCGTTCACACCACGGCTGCAGTGAACGCGTGTTCACCCCCCCCCCCCGCCCATCAAGGCTCTACACAGACCCCCGTCGCGCAAACAGTGCACCTCCTAAGTCTTTGCTGTGGTCGTGTGCGCCCGCGTTTGTTGCTCTTTTCGGTACCGCCGCCGTGCGTTTGGTCTTCAAATGTTGTTTTTCTCTTCACCCTGCCTGCCAAGTAGTGTGGACGATGTCGAGAGCCTCCAGGTTTCTGTCCGTCGTGGCGTTTTGGGCGTCGCACACGTGTTCTGTGTACGCCACGAAGGCCCTCCTGTCGCGTCCAGGCAGGACCCTTCGCACCGTCGTGCTCATCACTTGGTTCCAGGTTCGGCACCGCTGTTTCTGTTGAGATATGTACCTATGTAATATGTTTTTTCTTTTTTCTTTGGTCCTGAAACCGTCGCTCTTGGTCTCCTCTCTTGAGGAGTGCCCGTGGCACGTGTTGCGTTGTATTTTTGCCGCTCGTTGCGTGGGTGTCTTTGTTATACATATTGTGTGTGTATTTTCTCCCTTTGTGTTCTTTCTCTGTGTGATGGTGCTCACCTCGTACCGGATTCAGGGGTTCGCGTTCTCTTTCTCTCTGATACAGCAGTATTCTGTGCGACAAGCGCATGTACTCTCGGTTGTTCCCGCTAGGCCCCATTTGCCGGGGAAACACGCGGGTGTTCATTGTAGAAACATTAATGACCGCTTGCGTCTCTTGTGGGGGTGGCTTTCACGAACAGTCCAAGACTTGGGGTAGTGCTTGCGGGAAGGGTATGGGGAAGTATTGTTGAACGAAAGCTGCCCACAGAGCCCAAGCTGCATATATATAAGCCCTTTTTTTCCCCTCCTCTTGCGGCAGCTCAAGTAACTTTGCGGCAAACTCACTGATGAGATGAGGGCCTTCCCTCCCCGGGAAACGAGCATCCTATAGTCCTTCGAAGCACTAAACGGCCCAGCTGCATCTCCGTGATCGCGAACCCCCCCCCAAGATGTGCTTTTTAACTTTGTTTAACGCTTTTTTTTTCTGGCGCCGCATGTTATTTGTTCACAATTCTGTTGATTTTTTTTGTGTGTTTGTTTCCTTACGAGAGAGAGCACGAAAAACTCGCCCTTCCGAAACTAAAAGAGAGTCCGGTGTAGGTAAGCAAATGAATCCATCATTTTGTATGACGACCAGCTTTTTTTTTTTTTTCCCTGGATGCCCCTCTCGGACGGATGGTGACAACGACGACGGCAACACACAGTGCTTGGTGAGCTTCGTGCTGGTTCTGTCGCTAGGAACCCTCGGAGATCGCCAGGACTCCACGAAGGGGGCATGGCGAAGCGGGCTGCTGACCGAGATGGCCCGGGCCCTGCCGCCGAACGCTCTCTTGGGCGGGTGGAACTCCAAGAGCTTGCTTGGGGGAGGAGCCGAGGCGGTGGTGAGAGTTCTACCTGTGCTGTCTGGCTTTAGACGCTTTTTTGGTGCACGAATGTATTTTTGTTGTTGTTGTTGTTGTTGTTGTTGTTGTTGTTGTTATCTTCTTCACGTTGTTAACCGTTCCGGTCTTCGCTCAGCAAATTCTGACAACCGTACTGGTCCAACTGTTTGAGTGCCCCCCGATATTCTTCAGGCTTTGTCCTCAGGCCAGTTGCTCTTTTGTATGTGTGCTTTGTGCGAGCTTCTGCCTGTTTTGCGTTCGCCGTTAAGCTCTCGCACGCGTTGTGGGTGGGTGGGTGGGTGGGTGGGATGTCGCGAGAGAGGGCAGGGAGCCCACGCCAGCGATCGTTTCCTTTTCTTTCTTCCCCAATCGTGTTTTGTCGGCCGCGCGTGCATGCGTTCGTTCGTTTGAAACGCGCCGAGAACAGGGCTTGGCTTCGGTGCTCTTCTCCCTGGCCGTCTTCGCCGATAACGCCTGCCTGGGGGTCGTCAACGCCTCTTTTTTTCAGGTTGCCAGGGCCCTCACCCTCCCGTTCGTCACCGTAATGGGGTGAGCTTACAGTAGTAGTGGATCCTCAAGAAGACCTTTCGCGCAACGGCGGTGGTCCTGTATAGCGCCGGTGAAGTTGCTGGGCACAACCTGAATCACCAATCATTTCTGTAGATTGAATAGTGCCGTTCCCTCTGCATAGCGCCAGTCGATTGGCCGGGCACATACCAGGTGTTTTTTGAGAGCCCACGGCTGTATTGTATTTGTTCCGCAAATCATGTTTCTAACAAACCCCACAGGGTTTTCCAGTTTTCTTTTCGCTGGCGGATAACGCGGCAAGTTGTGCAGATGTCTCCGTCTAGTCGCCCGAATGAGTAAACCTCGACGTACACCATCCAGAGCACGGTTTTTCCCACGAAATTGCCGAGAGTTTTTGTTTGGGCGCGGTTCCGGTCGACAACGTTCGTCCTACGCCGACTCTTCCGACCCAACCCCTTGGGCGACACCAAAGACTCGGCTCTGGTTGGCGTTGTCTCCCCCTACACTCAATCAAGCGCGTGCGCCCTGCTGGCATGGGGATAAGCCAAACCCGTGTTGAGGGAGGAACCCGGGTTCTCACGGCTGTGGGCTAGTCCGTACACAAAGCTTCTGGATAGTAGGTTTGCTGGGTTGCTGGCCAGAAGCCGAAAGTGTCCCCGGAATGGCTTTTGGGTACGACGGACGGGCTCCAACAACTATTAACAGGACCTAGTAGGGGGGGGGGGGTCGTACAGCGCGTAGCCCTCTGCCGCCGACGTTGGTGTGTTTTCTTCCCCCTCGTGTATCTTCCCCGCTCCTGCGCTTGCGCTCGAAAGTCTTCGCTTGTTGACGCAACCCAGACAGCGGTTGTTCTTCGTAGCGTGTCCAACCAGCGCGCGAGGCTAGAGGTCGAACGTCGTTTATTCGTCTACCCTACCCCCCGCGCTCCGTGCGTGCCCCCCGGCCCCCTGTGCCCATCGAGCTTCCTGGGGCATTGCGTGCCGTCTGCAGACGAGCGCGGCGTACGGTATGCGGGGGACGGGGTGTGTTGAGGATTTGGCATCGGCCGCGCTAACCGGCTATTGTGTGGTATCTGTATCTGTCGGTTTTTCTGCCTGCCTGTTTTCAGGGCTGTTGGATCCCGAGCGCTGCCGCCCCGGGATCTGCTGCTCCCGTGCGTGCTGTGTATGGTGGGGTTCTCTCTGGGAGTTCAGTCGCAGACGCCGGAGGCCTTCGCTGACGGGACGTCGATGGGGGTCATGGCCAGCCTGCTGACGGCCGCGTACACCCGACTCCTGGCTCGTGCGGGTGGGTGTAGATGGTGCTGTTGTTGTTGTTGTTGTTGTTGTTGTTCCTGCTGCTGCTGCTGCTGCTGCTCCTGTTGTTGTTGTTGTTGTTGTTGTTGTTGTTGTTCCTGCTGCTGCTGCTGCTGCTGCTGTTGTGGTTGTTGTTGTTGTTGTCGTTGTTGTCGACCTGCACGGACAATCGACAATCGTCCCCGTTTTTTTTGTGTTTTTTGGTTCCAGAACCGAGGGAGGCGTGGCGAGTGACGTACGTGACCAACAGAAACGCCTCGGTAATTCTCGTACCCGTGGCGGTATACGTGGGCATGGGAGACCCCAACGATTTTGCGGGAGATCCCTTCTTGCTCAAAGGTGAGGGAAGACATTGGTCGCTTTTTAGCAGCAATCGTCGGGGGGATTGTCGTCAGTAGTGTAAACCGGATGGAGAAAATCAACGACCGATATCGGGGGAGGAGGAGGGTTCCCGACGCGCCACTGTGGTGTACTGCTTATCCCCTGTGCCCCCTTTTAACAAGAGTTCTGGATAGTACAGGAATATGTTTGTTTCCTTCGATGCTTCAGTGGGGCGGGGGGCGTGGTTGGGTGGAATTTAGTGCGGGCGGCGGTGCTCGGAATCGGTGTGGGAGAGCTCTAAACTTCGCCATGTGCTTGTCGCTCTGTTTTCGTGCCTTTTTTTCTTTTGTCCGTGGCGTAAATTATTTTTCAGATGGCAGCACGATTATTTTGGCGGCGATGGCGACCTTGCTCCCCGCAGTTGCCGGGGTTTGCACCATGTGGCAGGCGCAGGCACGACTGGGGGCCCGGGGATTGGTGAGATTTGTTTTTTTTCGATGCATTCAATCTGTCATTGGCCGGGCAGACCCTAAAGTTAGTTTAATTTACCGACCTCTCTCTCTCTCTGTCTCTCTCGCTCTTTCTCTATCTCTCTCTCTGTGTGTCTCTCTGTGTCTCTCTGTGTCTCTCTGTCTCTCTCTGTTTCTCTCTGTCTCTCTCTGTCTCTGTCTCTCCCTCTCTCTCTATCTCTCTCTCTCTGTCTCTCCCTCTCTCGCTCGCTCTTTCTCTCTATCTTGCTCTCTGTGCGTGAGTTGGACCGGTACGGAGAGTAGAAGGCTCTGAAAGGAGACCGGAACGGTTTTCGAAATATAGAAAACAACAACAACAACAACAACAGCAACAACCCATGACCTCTCGGTGCGCCTTCTCGGTCGGTCTGTCTCAGGCGGCCTCTTCGGTGGGCCGCGCGGTGTTCTCGCACCTCCTGGCGTTCCGCGTCTTCGGCAACGCCAAGGTGCTGATCGGAGAGATCGGCTGCTGCTTGGTGCTCACCGGGCTGGCGCTATACGCATCGTGCAGGTGCGTCCGCGACCGCGCGTGCTTGATCTCCTCCGTCCGTCTATGCTGCGCTGCTGTTTTGTGCGTGTGAAAGAGGGAATTGTCCTCGCAACAAGGCAGGCGTTGGGGAGATTTTACCCTTTTTATGCGTAGGGGATCTCCGTCCACATGTGGACAAGAAAGGGCGGAAAATAAAGCGTGCGCGCGAAGCCGTTGTTTATTCCGCCGCGTGTTTTGTTGTTTGTCGCTGCGCGCGACGGTTGCGTGCTGCGGCATTATCTTCTCTTCTCCCCCGTGGCCGTCGTCGTGTGCGTCGAGGAGGTGCACTTAAGGTGTACCGCCGCCGCTGTTGGTGGTCGCTCGGGCCTCTCCCACTCGCTTCGCTCTTTGCGAGTGTTGGGCACCGGGCCGTTCTCGCTCGGTAATCACAGGGAGGCTGGCGGTATTTTGTGGGGCCGGGCCGGGCTGGGCCTTGCGAGGGATACGCTTCGTCCCGCGCGTCCCCCGGTTTTGTCGACGTGACGCTGCTACGCATCGCTGAGCCGTTGTGGCTGTCGCACGGCATGTTGCACGCGCTACGGCTTAAGTCTCCGTCTGCGCTGGGTGTAGGAGAGGGTGCAAGTCGACGACAACCTTCGCTGCTTGTACTTTCCTTTTTCGGTGTGGCCCCAGCAGAGCAAGGGGCCTGCTTCAGGGAGATTTTGGAAAAATTGAGGAGAAGTATGCCTCGAACGCGCCTGTGAATGTGACGTACAAAACCTTTTCACCATTTCCATGTGCATACGTACAATCCTCCGCCGTTGACGCCATGGTACGCCCCATCTATATGCCGCGGAGGTCCTCGTCCCCCGTCACGTATTTCACTCAAATAGATGGGAAGACCAGCCTTTCGACCGACCCGTAGCTTGGCCCAACACCGCCGAGTTGACGGAGGAATTCTGTGGTGCCCATAGGTTATGGATTCATTGCCGGGGCCGAGGCCTACTGTAGTTCGAAGTCGCTCTCTGTCGCCTCTTTGCCGTCAGCGCAACATCAGATCCCCACGATTGGCCCTTTTCCACACCCCTTGTTCCTGCGACTGGCTTGCCGCCCTTCGCGCCTGAGAGCCCCCCCTGGAACCATGCTAGCACATCACCAAGCGCGAAACGCCGGCAAGGTATTCAGCGAGTCGCTGGTCCCGTGGACACCTGGTGTTCTCCGTCCCTGCCTTTTAGGGATGCGAGACCAACGGCCTGACGACTACGGCATGCACGACTATGAGTATGAGTACCCCCTCTCGCCACAGACTTCCTCTAGCCTGAAGCAAACACCTGACGCAACATTCGCCCCCCGTGTTTTTTTCTAATGGGCCCGCTGTCCACTTTACTGCTGTGCGCCTTGACTTTTTTCGACCAACCCAGAGGAGGAGCCGCCGTGGCGCAAGCCGGCAACGTGGCCGTGCCCGGGGCGGCCCGCGAACACTTCTTGCCTGCCTCCTCCTCCCCCCCGTCCGCCCCGGCCCCGTCTTGCTCGCCGCCGTCGGATATGGCTTCGGCTTCGGCGCCGTCGTCGGCAGGAGGGGCGGGAACGAATCCCGGTCATCATCATCGCCTTGGAAAGAGGAAGGGCACTCCGTTGCTAGGCAGGAAGACGTCCGGCCCCGCGTTTGGAGACGACAAAGAGGTGGAGTGCAACAGCCGCGGAGGCGGCGTCAACGGTGGGGGTGGGGGATCACCCGTCAAGCACCGGAGGCATTTCCCGGGGGTGGGGAGCGGGGGCGGCGACTTCCCCACGAGCTGGAGCAAGGACGACGATAGAGCCGCTGGCGACGATATCGTGGCGGCGGTCGAGGAGGGCGGGGGTACCGGCAGAGACGGAGTTTCATCCGAACGGCTTGAGTCCGAGAAAACTCGGCCGCAGTTGTAGCGGCGACGGCGACGGCAGCGTCGGCATCAGCCAGAGCAACCGACAAGAGGCCGCAGGTACAGTTCACACCCAAAGAGTTGGATCGGCATGGGCTACGGTGGGGGGCGTGAGAACGGGACTACTTTGAGCTTTTGAACTGCCGTGGAGGTTGCTCGTTTGGATCGGAGCTGAGCGTAACTTTGTTCGTGATGGTCGGTGGGCTTCAACCGGTGACGTTTTTTTTTCCTGCAGCCGTGGTGGTGTTGGGAGGCGGGGATGAACGTGGAACCCTTGGTTGTTTGTTGAGCTCCTTGGACGACGCGTGCGATTGAATGGCGGCCTGCGCCAGAAGCGGCGAGTGTTCGGTGATGTGCTTGTCGCTCTACGCGTTTCGTGCTCTCGCACGTAGTTCGGTGGTCTAGTGCTCCTCGACACCACTCTTGCCGACACGAGAGAGGGTAGGTAGGCAGTGGGTCCCTATGTCCAGTTAGTATGGCTCACCGACCATTGTTTGGCGGTTGGTGTCAAGCGTCGTCGTCCCGTGGTTGTCGGTGATAATTTTACTGTACCCTTTTGGCGTGGTTGGTTTGGGTTGGCACGCGGACATTGTTAGCACACGTGCTTGTAAAGAGTCTTATGTGACACTGCGTGGTTACTTCGTGTGGGGTCCGCTTCTCTTGTTTGTGTAAAATGTTAATATTCATAGGCCCCGCGCATGCTGTTGCAAGCGCTCTCGTGTAACTTGTTGCACTTGATTTGATTCTATCGCGTTTACTTGATGCACGGGGTGCGAGGATAGCTTCTTCAGGTTTATTTATTTGGCGCGGTGTTCCTTTTTTACTATGTTTTTGTATCGGTTGAACGTGAGCTTCCCACTGGTTGTGGTTGTTTAGACTTGTCCCTGGGACACCCGTTTTCGCTTCGTGCATGTCGGTCTTCATGCAGTTTGGTCTTGCCCCCCCAGTTCCTTCGCAAGGGTTAAAATGCCCTTGAGCCCTCTTGGTTGTGCAGGGTTATAGCAAGTGCTGGCCAAGCCCGCTCGTTAGTAGCAATACCTTCGTTTGTAGCAATATCTTCACAGGAACGAGGCTCCGGCAGTAAATTAAGCATCTGTTCGTAATATACTTTTGGCACAGCGGCCGACACCACGCTTCTCCTACTTCCCATGTGGTAGCTTGACATTGTGGCCTGTTGGTTAATCTTTTAAGACCCCTGCAAGGATTTTGAGTCTTGCTCAAAATTGACGTTTCTTGAGCCAGCGGGCACTGGTTGCTCTTGTTGCTGCTGTGATCACCGAAGTTTTTTTTTCTACCTGGAGGTGTCGGGAGGCAGGAGGAGGACTGGGCAGCGATCCGAACGACTCTTGATGTTAGGATGACCAACCACCGAATCGCCAAGGGTTAGACAACGGCAGCCTGGCCTATCAGTCTCATCACACGAAATAACCAGCTCTCAGAGTGATGATAAGAGTAAGAGAAACGGCGCGCAGCACAACGAATTTAGCTCAGCCGCCAACAGCAGTACAATAAAAATGCCCCCGCGGTGGCAACCCCTGTGATGATGCACTTTTCGTCGAACATTCCTACTGCAAGTACACCGACAGGTTCGTGGCACCAGAACAAATGGGGCGAATACACACAAAAAAGAAAGTCGGGCGTGAAGCGGTCAAATGCAGCGACGAGGCTATGAAAGAATGAGTTGAACTCACACACAACCCTTCCTTCTCTTTCACTCTCTCTGGAGCTCTGGAGCTCTGCTACCTGCCATTGCTCGTACACGCCGGCAGGAGCGAGGTCCGCTACCCCCTTTATTTGGTGCGGAGTAGGCAAGAGCCCGTTTTCTTCTCTGCAACAAAATATCGATCGATAGCGGGTGCGGGGCGATGTGAGGAAATAACTGGTCCAGAGAGGTGAGGTTGGGATATGTGTGCGCCCGCCATGTTTGTGAAGTTCATACTCCTTGAGATACATGCGGGGATCACCTATCTTTTACGTAAAGGAAGAGGGGTCGAGCAGGTGGGCCTCGTCAAGGAACACGTCCGAAATTGGAAACGGGTCTGGCGTATAATACGCTACATACACATGTGTCGTGTGACTGTTTTGATGGAGAGAAAATACTTGTGAAGAGTCGAGAGGTTTCTCACTGCTGTCTACAGCTGTCGATCGCTAGCAAATATACCGTGGACTTTGTTGCTGCTGTACGGATAAATATCTGATCGCAAGTGTTGATGTACTCATCCAAGCTGATGGGGCTTGTGCTGCTCATGCTCTGGACCATGTACATGCCTTTCTGTGTGTGTATTTATCATTCCTTAATGACACATGCCACCCAAGCAGTGAGCAGTCGGCCCGTTAAGTGCCGGTTGAGTTGTAACGCATGCGCGGAGGAATTATTTCTGCTCGTGAAGCTCGGTAGCTCGTCTACATGTCGTGCCTCGTGATGTGATCAACTTCACTCTTGTTGTTACATCTCTGTGTTACGAGGATTAATTACCATCCCGTGGCGATACTGCCATCATCGTCCTGCCTGGACTACCGTCGATGTAACGTCTGTGCAGTATCTGTCCGAATCTTGGTCGCGCCTTGTGCACATAGTTATTACCTTAAAATTCAACTTCACCAAATCTTCTGCGAGGTAGATGCTGTTGTGGTTGTTGTCTGAGCTCTCGCACTCGACTACACGCGTAGGGGGGCGTCAGCCTCTGTTTTTACGTGCTGGGGTATACTTCCACACTATCCGTTAGACATCATGGCAGGCATGTTCTCAACTGCAACAAGAGCAGCCTCCAGGAGCGCTCAGACCGTTTTGTTCTGATCTTTCCCGAACATACATGCGCGGTCATGTCAATGTCGTCCTCCAGCACAAGACAAAACCAATACATGACACATTCAGATCGGAAGTTCCACACACCCTTTTATGCCGGGAAGGTTGTGTGTCTACATTAATATATCTAGTCTAGCTTTTGTCAACGACAGGTGCAGGACACACCCCCGCGGAAGTTTATTCCGCCGCATCTTGCCGGTAATTTTCTTTGCTCCCGGGCAAGGATTGGCCCCCCGCTACCCAAAGAGCAGGCGACGGAATGTGATGGAAAATATGTAGACGAAGAAGTAGGGTGAGTTTGAGGTAGAGATTGGACGTGTGGTTCGAGCTCGTTTGATGCTCTCGAAGAGGGCGGAGATGTTGTACGTGTCACTCCAGCTAACCAGCAGCGACGGCTTGAGAGGAAATGGAACTACAACAATCGACGATATATGCAGGCAGGTGGATAATGATTTTCGGAATTAGACGGCGGAACGAAGACTTTTCCGCGGGAGAGGGTGCATAAATGTGTAGCGAACAAAGAATCCGGATATATTCTGTTTTTGTCGAAGATATACCGAACAAAATCGCGAACAATATGCGTTCTTTGGGTAGTAGTGTATCGGCCGTGAGCAATCCTATTTTTCTGGGCCATGCGGGCCGCGGTGCCGTCGGCAAGCCCTCGAAAACGAGATGGAGACGGACAGAGAGCGGAAGAAGCAGGGGTCGCGGAGACTGTTCCAAAACCTCAATAATAGTTCATGGTGAGGCTATAGGACACTACAATATCAATTGCTGGACCACGCCTGCCTGATACACACGCACATCATGTGAATTTAACAAAATAAATTGAAACAAAATGTGCATGCCAGGGAGTAGATGTGCACAGATTCGGCTGGATTTTTGGACGTGCGCCTGTAGCACCTCGGGTGCATGCTGCTGTTCACTCGTTTGGAACACACTGAAACACGATAATCAAGCAAAATTCCCGCCAATAATGATGAAGGACAATACGCCTGCCGATGAAATCATGCGGACAGTTCCAGACCAGGTTCAGGGGGAAAGCAGCCTTCCTACTTTAAGCCGCCCCTTGCCTAGGCCGTATCACTTCTCCCCTTCCACTATTGGATGGAAAAAATGATATGGACATATTACAACAACTGGGAGGAACGTCGCAAACGGGGCAATAGAGAAGTTCAATAACATATTCCTCTAGAGAGAACCCGAGACCTTGACGTCCAAGCTCTAGGTTACCCGTTGACTCCTTTCATCATTTATTGGAGCGTTTCTTTCGAACTGGCCTCTAGCAGCGCTCTTGGACAAGCACAGATAGTCGCTGCGAAAATTCGCTGATGAACCTGAGTTATCGTCCCGCGATTCTCCCCCCCATTACCGCCCTACTCCCCCCGTCTACCACCCACCCTAGACTACGGCGCCCCTTGCGTACGGCACCCCCCAGTTGAAGGCTGGAGACAGCTACGTCGTGCTTCACCGTCTATCACAGGCGAAGAAGAATGGGGACAACAGGTGTCCCCAAACAACGATCTAGTTCCAAAAAGGTTAGTAGTTGAACACGGTGGACACTGCCTCGGTTGTTCTCCTTCCTCATTTGATCGCCGACAGACATGCATCCGGTTCGAAGACACGTTAAGTTAAATACTCAAGCGCAGGGCACTCTGGGCGTTTCGTCCGCCTCCAACCTAAGACCCGTTCTTGTGTATCGATCTCGAAATCGCTCCTCCACTGCTGTTCTGCGATCCACCCCCACGTAGTCGAGTCCAAAATCCTTTGGTGTTTCTCGTTCCCATCTCAAGGGCTACCCGTTTCTTCTCCACGCAATCCACATGCTCGCAGACACTCCGTACCTCTAGTTTGCCATAACCATGCGAGCGAACGCATGCATCGGAGTATTGCACCCATCGGAGTGCGACAACACCGATCTAAATCCCCGCTCCGGGAGCAAGCTTGCGTGCTGCCGTGAGTGGCTCCTGGCCAGGTCTTGAGCTGCATCAGGTATTGCTTGTGATCGCACTTGGTGTCTTCACTCGGTGCGCTCACTCGCATGAGCATGACGCTGAGCTCAACGTTTCTGCCCCCCGACAACGCGGGTAGACCGTCGTATCCTGCTCCTCCTCTGCCCTTGCGCTGCGAGGGGGGGCTCCTACCTTGTAGTAACGCTGTCCGGAAAAGTGCCCCACCTCGTCTGGCCCTCCTTTGTACAGCGAGCGGCCACCTGCTTTCCATAGCGTGATGCTGTGCTGCGCGTGCTACCCGCACATCTACAGGACCCACAACACCGATGTAGCGCGATTTCGCACGCTGTGTAGGGCTGCACCTGCTAATGTCAAACGCTTTCTCACGGTATCGCCGTGCCTCATGCCCCTTTCCATGTTGCGTCTCTCGATACATGTAAACCGACAACAGCCCCGGCCAAAACACCAGTGACGCACGAAGGAGGGGGGGGGGGGACCTCTCAAACAGATCCAAATTCTGAAAAAACAAGAAAATGTCTGCCTCGGTGGACGACGGCGGGGCTGGAGCGGACGGCGAGGTCTCGGAAGCATGGGAGCCCCTTTCAGCCCCGGATTTCTGGGTCATCGGTTTCGTGGCCACCTTCCAGACGGTGTCTCTCTTGGTGTGCGTGCACCTGGTACGGTGGCGCAATTGGCCTCCCTACGTCATCAAGAACGTCGACATTGTCATCATCTCGGTGAATGTTGTGGTACCTTTTTAGTTGGGGGTGGGGGGGGTCGCCGGCGTTGGTGGAACATGACCGGGCATTGCCATGCTGGGGAGTGGAAGCGGGGAGGTGGAAGATGTTGCGCTTGTCATGGTTCCACCACTCCTTATTGCGGATGGTGATGTTGTTCGGTGCCTGGAACGTTTTACCTTTTGGTATTGCCCCATTTACGCACGTCGTGGCAGTCGCTTACCTGCCGCCCTGACTGAACCGCTGTGTAGCTGTTACTCTTGCCCTCTTTTGACGACCTCGCGTCTCGTGATGTCTTGATCCTCTCTTGTCTTGATCCTACTGGGGGGGAAATCTCTTCTTTCCATGAGCAGACAATATCAGGGGTGCTATGGAATGTCGCGAAGGTTATTTCCTCCGGATACATCAGGCGGGAAAGAGGGAACGTTCTGGCAAACTGCGGCTTTGAGGTACATCAGCTTCAACGACTAAGCCCTTTTTTATATCGAAGTATTCGAAATTGCTTTGATTTTGACGTTCGGGTGTGTATATTGCGTACACAAAAAGACCACCACCTTTGCCGGTCGCCCCGGTCTAGTTGGTATCCTCGAAAACATTCTAGTGGCCAGGGTCAGGTCTGCGAATCCCGGCGTAAGCGAGCTGTATGGCAGATTGAATTTTCCTCTCGCTTCCCTTCCGTGTCTGGCGTGGGTGGAAAGCGCTGCATAGTTCGTGTGTGCACAGAGGGAAGAGAGTGCCGCACTCTGTCTCGCATTGAAAATCGAAGGCAAAGCACCGCAGGAGGGGTGAGTACGGGGGCTCAGGGAGAGGAACCCTTCTGTGGGCCCACCAATTGGAGAAAACGGCACAAGGGCTGTGAGCGCTGATTTGGAAGTGAAGGAAAACAAAAAAACACCTTTGTTTGCACCACCCCTCGTAGTGTTCTATCAATAAATGACGTAAGGGCATGGTTCCAGCGAAATTATTGGGTGCGACTTCGATGGGGGATGCCTCACCATTGAGGATGTGCCACCCCCTCAGCCTGTGCTATTTTTGAGGCGCTGCAAGTATGTTTTGGTTGCCTTCAGAGCGTGTCGCGCAGCCGTGGCGAAAGGTCGAGAAAGGGTGTAAAGTGTCCTTCCATTCGTGGCATGATAGAACACCGTATGGATGGTTCGTCCTATAGCCCACGCCTCACCGTTGCCATTATGTTTTCCCTTGTTATTGCTGCTGCCTCCACCGCCGCCGTTGTTGCTGATACGCTTTTCCCGCGTGCTGGCCTTTTCGTGGTTTGCTTGTCGCCGTCGTTGCTGGTGCGGGCGGTTCCGCAGAGCTTTCTCACGTGGTCGACGCTGTGTGTCCACACGGCGGCGTTCTTCTTCCGGGTGTACCGAATGTGGAGGATCCTCATCAAGCACGACGACAAGATGTGGAATACCGGGTGAGTCAGTCCTCTTTGGCATCTGTTCACTCGGGGGCACAAACATGGGGGTGGTTTGATAGTGACCCTCGAGCATTGGGCAAGAGGGGGCACGCACGTCGGTTTTCTGGACGTACCTGTGTGTTCACGCACAGGTTAATGCTTCCCTAGCGTGTGCTGCTTGCCCCCTTGTTATGTTTTCGGAATACCATCGAAACCCGGCCCGCAGGCAGTATTTCTTGTTGACAGGGTGCCCTAATGTTTGTTGTGTACGCCGAGAACTTTGGCAGTCGAGATTTGGACGGCCTCCGACCGATCGACCCCCCCCGTCTATCTCAAATTTTGGGCGAGTGTCTTCCCAAAGCGAATGCCTTTACGTCTCTTTTTGAATACTCTCCTGCCCCCCGAGTACTGGAGTATCAGTTGTCGGAGAGGTTCGCCCGCCCCGACGCTCGTCGCATGCGACATCTCCGTTGTGAGTCCTGCGTTTCCTTCTCTATGCAACGGCACAGCTATCAGATCCTGTGCATGTCAAGTCTATGCCTCATCCCCGTGGTGGCGGCGTAGGCAGTTCCCAACACCGGCGACTTCGACGAGGTGGCGAACGCATGTTTCACTTTGTCTGTCTCCACCGTTGTCATCCTCGGGATGGACGGGCTCGGGTTTCTCGTGATCTTCTACCTTTGGTGAGGGGGGGAGAGACTCACAAGCTTGGGTAGGATATGGCTGGTGGCGTGTGTTTGGTGGTGGTGGTCGCGGTGGTGGTGATATAGCGGGGTATGGTGGTCGTGGTGCTGAACAGCCACGCGGAAGTGTTTGGAGCCGGTTCCGTACCTGCTGTCCAAAGGCTTGATGAGATCGATTCCGCCGCCGCCCATGATGCCATGCGGGCTGGCATTGTCGAACGAACAGGTTCGTGTGCGCCCGCCAACTCAAGTGGGTCCGGAAGCAGTTCAACGAGTACGAGTCGATGAAGCGCACTCTGCTGTACATGACCATCACCCTGGCGAGCTACGGCGTGGTCGTCTTGTTTCTGCTGGCGGATGACCTTACAGTGTCGCGGCGAGTGGCCCTCTTCTGTGAGTACATTTTTAATTTCCTTGTCTTGTTTTCGCGGCATCACCTGACATTGGAGGTGCTTGTTTCGGTGAGGATCCTCCTGCAACACCTCCTCCTCTCTCCTCAAAAACCCAGCTCCTCGATTAACCAGGAAAACAACACCCCACACGAGCTGCAAGCTATCCACGTCCTCATTCTGTCTGTGGCGCAGCGACAACGAACCCGTATGGACAACTTTGGGCCATTGGTCCCTCCGGTTCTGATAGTATCGGGAAAAACAGTTCTTTGGGCAGATATGTTGATTGTTGAGCGAGAGTGAGAGTTGTGCACCGTGTCGGTTTTTTCATGCTTGGGGAAGGCACTTCAGCCAGGGGGCCAGAGGTTTGTGTGTCCCTGAAACCACGGGGCCGAAGGTTGTGCATCCCTTGGCAACTGGGAATCTCCACCCCGGGGGGTTCACTCATTTGACGTGCATCTTTTGGGAGCTAGCACCAAGAGTCGTACATTCTGCAGAACCGGCATACCTGGTTAGCGAAGAATGTCTGGCCGTAGAGGCCGGAAAGGGAGCCCCGAGAGTTCCATCCCGAAGGACCCTTGGCCAGGGGATAGGCCGGTGGCTGTCCCACATCCCCCTTTCCGTCTCAACGCTGACGTGAATCGAACATGTTGGCCACCACTGGCCACCCAACCTCTACTGCTGCCCCACACCATTCTCCACGAACCGACGGGTTGCCAATCGTGGCCCAGATCCGGTGATGACGACATACATCCTGCTGTGGGGCTCCATTCGCGAGCCGTTCATGATGAAGATTCTGGGAGACGACGAGTACCTCGGGTCCTACACGCACGGATTTGCCCAGCTTCCTTCGCCGGCCCAGGTGCGGCAACTGTTGCTACCGTCTTCGTCGTCATCGTCGTTGATGTTGTTGTTGTCGTTGCTGTTGTCGTTGCTGTTGTTACGTTGTTACTACTGCTGTTGTTGCTGCTACTAATGTCTCCATGTGTTGCCATGGCTTCCCGGCGTGGCACGACACAGTAGCATGACACAGTACTGCCCAACAAGTTCAACACAGATGAACAGTGCCGAGCTCCCTGACAGATACATTCCTCCCACTCACCTCTCTGTCTGTGTGTCTGTCTGTCTGTCCGTCCGTTGGCTGGCTGGCTGGCTGGCTGGCTGGCTGTCTATTTGTTTTATTCATTGTTGCCACACTTTCAGCTGAAGGCCAGCCTGGCAGAACAGCTTTCCGTGGAGCAGCTGCGGGACGAGTTCCGGCGGTACATCAAGACCAAGGTGGCCCAGGAACTGATAGACTTCTACCTGGACTCGCTAGACCGGGAAGAGGTGACAGATTTCTTCGAGAGACAGGTAGGAACAAATCCAGGGGGTGGGGGGGGGGGCACCGTTCCTAGCGCCGTTCGGAATAAATGTCGTAATCTACCTGGGTTGATTGGATAAGTCGGGCAGATGTTACGGTTGACTTGGAGGGCGATATTTGTCTCGATAGTGGGTGAGATGTCCCACGATTCTGCGTTATAATTCTCAGTTTCAATCAAAACTGGGCTTTGTTTTGGCGCGGAAAGAACACCACAACGGACTCCGCCCTTGTCACGCCTCCTCGTTCAGGCTCACCCCCCTTCTTCCCTTCGAGATCAAGCGCGAAAGGCACGTTACATTGATAGCACTCGAAGAGGTGGTTGGTTGGCTTGTGCGTGTTTTTTTTTTCCCCACGAGCTTTGTCGCAAATATTGCAGCAGGTGTAGAAAATACAACACGTTGGAATGAGGGAAGAGCCGAGAAGGAACGCAAAAGAACCTGTCTGAGCACCAAGACAAAGCTGTTTGTGTCGTCGGTTTCCAGGAGCAACAGCCAGCACCGAATCGAGTCAAACGTACGCTCGAGTTGTGGGCGGCGGCGGTGCTAGTTTGTTTTTCACTCTCGACGAAGAACACAAAATAGTCCCAGCTTGTCTTGGCGGAAGACAAGGGACGGGGATATAATATAGATACTCTACTGATGGAAAGTTTCGTCGTTTCCCCTGCCATGTTTAAGGCAGTGGTTTGCGAGTTTCCCACCTCTCTCTCCAAGCAACACCTTGTCGGGAGAAAGACAAACTTGGTACACACACCGGCGTTTGCGGTGGGGTTCCATCACTTGGACTTGGAGCAACCCTCAGCTCACGTGAACGTCTCCTTGCTCGTTCGTTCTTCTTTTCCTTCTGTTATGTTTTTTTTGTCTTCTTGCTTTGTGCTTAGGCGGTCACCATGCGCATCGTGGACCAGTACATCAGGGAGGGATCCAGTGACCAAGTAGGAGCTGCGAAACCCAACAAAACTGGCCTGTGACGGCGGTGTAGTAGGAACGGGAAAGGCGATAATGTGCTAGCCGACACCTTTGCAATCCGCAGACCAGCACCACAGCTTTCTTTTCGTCATGGTTTTCATCCGTGTTTTGATCTGAGGCTCGTTCTTGAGGTGTGGGCCGAAAAACCAGTGGTGTGTGTTTGTGGTGCTGGGGTACGATAATACCCGACCTAGGCTTTATGTGAGTGAGGGGTATGTGTGCGGTTGAGGGTCCAAGTGCGGGCCCCTCAGAGAGCGTAGCGTACGCAGGTGTGCTTCCTACAGACATGCACGTGTGACCCACTTGCGTGTAGGAGGAGCATTGCTTGTTCATGCATAATAATGATGCTCTTCTTCGTCGGTCGTTCCTGGGACAACATACAGTAGTACCCATGCTCAACACGAACCGGTGAGGGCCGCGGTGCCTCAAAACAGCGTGTGAGGACATATTTATCTGGAGGACGTATAATCATGTGTGACAAGCGTCGTGTATGGTTTGTTGGTACGATCCTCGATCATGTTGCTAATTGCTCGTGTGCGGAATCGCCTCAGGTTAACGTATCGGGAGCATGCCGGGAGAAGATTCTCGCGACGGACGTGACTGCATTCGACATCTTCGAAGAGGCGAGGGCGGAGGTCTTGGTGGTCATGGAGGTGATGGACAAACACCACACCGTTCGTGGAAATATTGAACCGCTCTTGAGGCAGTAAAATCGGGTCTGCAAACGAATTCAAATTCGGCACGAAAATGGATGTAGGCGTCTGTCCCGGTAACATGTTGAAATTTGCATACAGCCGATCATTGTCTTTCTTCCTACCGTGAATACGCGAGAACACCGGGAAAGAAAACTTTCGAGAGATGCCAGAGAAAACTCGAGCCGATCCGACGCCGCCCGCGCCGACGCCGGCGCCAGTCGGAGCTCCAGCGCCAGCCGCGTCACCAGCGCCGGTTTCGGCGATGCCCAGCGCGGGGGCGGCGGACCAGCGCTCCCGTCATTACTCAATACTGGTACGAAAGTTTGGGTGACTCCACAAGGCTCCAGCCGCGCGACACCGCGGCGGGCTGATTGGGCGCGGCGCCCGCGTGGGCCATGTCGTGGTCTTGGCAAACTTCCACGGAGTGCTCCCCGAGGTGGGCGACTACGTGCTGCTGTACGCTGCCAACCCAAGAGGTGCAGCCTGACCCCCAGCTGCGCCAGCAGCAGCAACCCCTAACAGCAGCAGGAGGAGCGGGATCAGGAGTCCCGCAGACTGTAGATAGTTCGCAGTCCGCAGCTAGCCAGCCGGTCCGCAGCGGAGATTCGGGTGCAGGCGCAGTGAAGGTTTGCCGCGATGAGGAGTTCGTCGAGCCCCTGGACACCTCACCCGCTAACGCGGAGGTGCGTCTTGTGTGCTTTGCTCTGCTGCTGTAACTTCTGCCGTGTGCTGCGTGACTTAGGGGCTATATGCTGCCCTTGTTTGATTTGTTTGTTCTTGTTTTGT